TAACTGGCTGTCCTGACCATACCTGACTCCTTCCACCGCTCATGATTCTCGCTGGATTTACGGGGCTCAAGTGCTAGAGTATCTGTCAGTTAGTCATGCCCACAGCAGCTCCAGTGACATACATGTTGCAAGGAAGGTTACAGACATGAGGTTCTACGTAAAAATACAGGCATTTAATATCTGTAGTAACCAAGCCCAGATGTGGCGACTCACCAAGCATAAACCTTCTAATCATTTAGTGTGTACCCGATGCATAGCTGTTTGTTTGCTTAGTTTCGCTGTCTTTCCGAAGTGCACAAACAGATGCCGTGCTGGCACACCGAAGGATCCTCCCCTCGTACCGGTCGGTCCAGTAAGAACTTTACCCAGCAAACCAAAGTTTTGTCCTTTCAAAGCACACGGATCAGCCACTTATCTATGAATACCAGATTATCCTGCTGTTGTTAAAAATTACTGTATCGGAAGGATTACCAATTTCCAATCTTGGACAAAGCTGATGTTCTTCTTTGAGGCCTGAACAATTGAGTCCGCCTTTTTTTTTACTACAAGTACACTCACATGCTACTTATAAGGAATTACCTTGATGACATTACGCGGGATTTTGCATGAAATGGAGGATCAACACTTGCTATTCTCACTCTTACGTGATGGATTTTGCACTTGGCCATGAATGACATTTTCGTTCGATAATATCACTTACTGTACCCGGAGAAACACAACTGCCATCTTGGACGGCACTTCTATCCTGGTTATGGCCTGAAAGATTAGGCTCGGCTCTTCTCATTGCCACAAGAACAATTTCATATGCTGTTTCCCTGGAGTTACCCCGATGATTCTATGCAGGATCTTCAGTCTGCAATCGGAGGGTCAAACCTTGCCATTTACATTCAATCGTGTTGGAGTTTTCACTTGGATGCGAATGGCCAACTATTCTGCCACTACAGGAAGAGCACCATTGCAATAAGGTTCCGTTTTACACATGATCTCGACCTGCTCTCTTACCCCCAAGAAATGCAATGATTAAAACCGACCAACCAGATGAAGATTCTGCTCCATCTAGACACCAATCCCGTCAAGATACTTGCTGCTATGGCGCTCAACTGATTGTGGACAACTCCGTTTTGTTCTTCAGGCACAATCTTGATCATGGAATCCTGCTCCTCTAATCCTACACAACTTGTAAACTTTCCAGACTATTCCAAGCAAACTTTATTGAGCCTGTTTAACCTGGGTACCCACATGTTATCACCACTGCTTCAACTACGGTCCTAGAGAGCGAATGACCAGGGTTCACTTCAATGGGAATCACGGTCTACAATGAGGATGCGCGTCGCAATCCAATCACACAACATGTAGTCCCAAATTGACCCCAAATCAGTCAGTAACCATTGTGCCATGCGTTTCCCGTCTTGATCCGGTGGCTTAGGGGTAGAAGTCCCCAATGACATCCCAATGGTCCCGGGTTCGAAGATTGCTATTTCAACTTGATGAGATCAAACAAGGTCGAAACGCATCGTGGTGTGCAGTGTTACCGCGCGGTCAACAAGCAATCCCCCTCGGCTATTAATTGCCAGTAGAGTATCTGATCAGTAGATAGACACAGCATATGTAACAGATAAATCACAGTCTGTCGGATTCCACCGAAGCATGTCACAGGTGCCGTCCCTAATTTCCTTGTTTCCTACTCCGAACTGTCATCTAGACATTCACACGTTCCTTCGTCACATGCTCCATCGATTGTTCCTCAGCTCTTCCATCCATCCATCCACTGCATCTCCGTCTAAGGCACGTCATTGTCTGAGTGAGTAGGCAAGACTCGCCATCTACCCACCCGTGTATCATGAACACTGTTCATTGGCTGATCGACTGATAATTGATCACTTCGTTGTAATCCACTCCGAATGACATTGGAACCGCTTCGCTTCCGTTTTCTTATCGGTTGACCGTTATAGTTGTTTAGCCTGGCTTGACAGCAGGTTGAATTTGAGAGCCGAATTATTGGATACATTTTGGTCAGCATAGTGTTTGAGGTTTGTTACTAAATTGTCCAAACATTTGTAAATAGCAACGTAGTTCTTCCGGCTTTGACTTTTGGATTGATCCGATAACAGTTTTGTAATATCCCAGAATTATTTGTTCTTCGTTGGATACGAATCAATGACAGCAGGAAGAAAACCGTCAAGAAAGAACTTTAAGAAGATTGACGATACTAGACAAAGCGAACTTTTGTAGTTGCCACGGATGACGTAGTTTCCCGCTCTAGTTTGTCTGTTAGTCATAGACCTATTGGTAACAGCAGAGTTAGTAACGTTTCTAATGCCTCAGATATTACGTTGAAACCAGCCAAATAGAAAGAGAAACGGTTGATGGCTGAAGCTGAAGTAAAGCGTTATAGGCGTTTGTTATTAGAGGAGACCAAACCAAGTAACAGTTTGCCCGAGCAGTGTGATGATACCAGTGGCATGAAAGACATGCCTCGGTTGTTGAAGTACACAGGGCCTCCCCACACGAACACGAAGCTTTATCTTCGGCTGTTGAACAACTCATTGTTGATCGTTGTCAACTGGACCTAACAAAGGTAGAACTCGAATATTTTGATAGCAATCCTGTTACTTATTAGAAGTTTGTGAAACAGTTTGAATAGTTTGTTGAGAAGCGTGTACGAGATAGTGGTCAGTGTCTTTCGTATTTGATGTACTATTGTCATAATCGGGCGAAAGAAGCTACCATTGGGTATATCATGTTGCCACCAGACCAGGCTTTTGTCAGGGCTAAAACGATCCTTCACGATTTATTTGGTCAGAGTCACGTGGTTGCTAGATCACTTATTGATGGGTTGCTGAGGGAGCTAAAACCACTCGCTCATGATGATGAAGCGATTACCCGTCTCTCCCTGAAAATTGCCACATAGCGTTCAGCCAGATGGAGTTCCTCCCTGACGTCGACTCGATTGCAACCATCGAGAGTTGTAGGTGTTTTGCCAGAAAGTATGAAGACGCGGCGGGCGCGAACAGCTGATAGTATCCTACAGGAAAGGAGGGAAATCAGGTTCAAGCAACTCTGTGAATTTGTCTCTTCTGAAGCTCGCATTATGCGTAGCAGGTTTGACCAGATCGCATCGATAAATGAGATGAGACCGTCTAGTTTCCGATGCATACCAATCCCAACACGTAAAGGGAATGAGGCCACGATCAATCACTCCACTAAGTCCAAGATGAAACCGGATGGACCTTGTTTAGTTTGTGACCGCTACGTGCAGAGATTTTTCGGGTTGCGGTGTACCCGCTAGATGGGAACTAATGAAACAAAAAATAATGTGACAAATGTCTAGACCGTGGCCACTTGGTCGCTTCTTGCATGTCAAACGATAAATGTGGGCAGTTGGGTTGCAGAGGCCGCCATCACCAACTGCTGCACTTGGAACGCAAGGATGATCCGCAGACAAAGGGGAGCAGCTGGTGCACTACCTCCGGTTCACGACAGGAGGTACAACTGGGCATTGTATCCGTAATAAATACTAATAATGTGCCAGCTGTACGATATAACGGCGCTTCGCTGCCGTGCGACCACCACCAGTCGCACGCGGGCTGTATATCGCGAGGACGCCCACCTCTACGCAGGCATGACCACAGGCACGATGAATCCCAATGGGCCATAGAGAGGACACTGCATAAGAAGGCTCTTTGTTTTCTGCCCATCCTTCACATCAAAGCAGAAAATGAAGCAATCTTCACTGGAATTACATTCCAACTCGAGGGTTCGTAACACTGGCTTGCCTGATAACTCGATCGATTTGGTGACATCAGCAATCCCTGAAGAAGGGATCCTTTTATACACCACAACAGAGTTCGAAATCCACTTCCGTAATATGAACCCACCCAGACCGAACATTACTCGAACTTGTGCAACAAATGGTATTGCTTCTTGTGGGGTTGGAAGCGAAATCAAACAATCAACTAGCTAAAAATTTGTGTGAACAGCATCTTTGACAACCTGACTGTATTGTTCTCTTCACTCATCAACGGTACGACGCAATGCGAAATTGGCACAAAAAATGGACGAGGTTGCACCAAAGGGATGTGCAGTCATTTGGTACTCCAGTACATCCGCATCGAGATCTCCGTCGCGTCATCATAAGAAACGCAACGCACCTCTATCTTCCGCCGGAACCTTTAGCTGCATGAACACTTCCTCTATGTCCATTGCAATAGTCCCCTTTTCGTTTCTGAAACGCATTAGAATTCCTATAAGGCTGGAGGTAGCATCCGGACCCTGTAACAACCGGTCGTTTAATGAAAGACCTTTGTATCAAGCAGCACAATCCAAGAAAACACGTAGCTCTTCCGGCTTTGACTTTTGGATTAACCCGGGTGCTAAGTGTTGCTCAAATCCCACGACCGATTTGACGGTAACACCATATTTTATCCTCATAGAAAATTCCGTACTTAACTGATCATACATGGTTAAGCGTGTCTCGTTTACTTCGGAAATAAACTATTTAGTTAGTTAGTAAGCGAGAAGCACACAAGTGATGTGGCTAATGCACAAATGAAGAGGGAGGTGGCGTAATAAACTGGGGAGAAAGTGGTGACAATGTGAGTTTTTAGACGCAAAATATGGAACATGAATATTTGATACAGCAGTAAAGCGTAATAAAAGGACTTCATTTTCGACCCAGGCACACAGAAGTGCTGCCGCAAGCGGGAACTATGTACGCGCAGAGAATAAATGGCTGGTGAGTGTAAGCAAGGAGAAACAAGGTATTCATAAACAAACTTAAGATCCGAAGACAAGCATAATATAACGGATCTGCAAGACTCAGATGCGGGGATGTTGAGTAATAGCGAACCAACCACTAAATTGTCCTCGAACTACACACTATGGTGGGAGCGCACGGCGGTTCCACGTTGTTTTTGCGTCTAAGAAGACCAATGCATAGAACAGAATTCTATGTGGGTTACGACGCATTCAGGTTGAATACAATAAAGTGAAGCGCTCACCTGTGTAACGATGATGGTCGGTAAAGCGTCAAGGCGGTGGGGGAGATGACAGCGGTATCACGAATGACACAACATGCGAAGGACCTCCAACTAGACGCGGCGAATGGCGGGAAAACGCTTGACGCACAAAACAAACATGACTGCAGATGTGAGGCCGCTGCACATCCCGCAGAAAATGGAAACGAGCATAAACCAGCACTTAGACGTGCAACAGTGAGATGGGGAAAGGAGATCTTGCGGAAAACGATGGTCGTTGGGGACAAAACACGTGCAAAAAGCTAGACACCCATAATGAACGACGCACAATCAGCTTCGGTGATTAGATTGGGGGAAATGGCGAGGACGCCAACTAGCAGCATGCGCTCTAATCATTAAAGACCGTATTGTGCGGATAATCGGTCCCGTAGCATAGGAGGACACTGCCTCCAAAATTCACCCCAATCATCACCCGTCACTTGGGCTTTGAAGCCATGCAAAATCTGCAAACAGAATGAGGCAGGGGAAAACAGGTGAGAATTTCGAACATGCTGTCGGTAGACAGCTTCATGACAGTAGATAAAAAGAAACGCACCGCGTAGAATTTCTCCTTCAGGTCGTCCTTCGGAGCATTCCATGAAGCCACAGCATCACAGAAGAAAAGAAAATCACTCAGTACACCGGAAGGGTTGAGCGTGATCAGATTGCAAATGCCGCGGAAAGCACTGTCTTTCTCTTCATTATCACGAATGTTGCGAAGAAACAAACACCTGGGATAAGTGCGCATAGGGAAAGGATTATCCTCTGTTATTTGCATAACACATCGCATTGAAAACTATGGTGAAACAAGAATGGTGCCAACATGGCACTATGTCGTCATTCCCCTGTACAGTTGTGTGCCCAACTAGCGTAAGATTAGTCGCCGATGAAGCACATGGGTAAGGTAGTACCAGTTACCGATAGACTTAGAGAATACAACTTGGCCTGCACTTCGACAGTTAAACGAGAGACGGGAAGATGATTGGAAGCGGTATGCCAGTCAACGAATAAATCAGGTACAGCACAGCGGTGATTTGAATTAGCTGTGACAACACATGAGTGTCCCCGGCGCAGCTTGAAAGTAGTTAGCACCTGAAAGGAGCATGGCGGACAACGTGTCTCGCGTTGCAACGCAAATCACAAAAATCAGTGTGTAGCAACAGGTGAGATGGAAAGGACGACAAAACCAAAGCTTACCAGTTACGAATAAACAAAGATAGGTGTGGTGCCACTTCGGAGGGACATACGTATCCCAACCGACCAATTGTGATGGCTGAGGATAACAAAGGAAAGGGCATGGGGGAAAGTGACAATCAGCAATTGACAGTCGATATGAAGAAATAATGGATGAAAGATGGTGTAAATGAATTTAAATGACATTGGTGACTACCCAGGCTCGGACTGGGTAAGGCGATGACAACGGTTTGTGACAGATCGGCCAAATGATGAAAGGGCCTGACTGTACCTCCCGGATATCTAGCTCTTCCATAGCTGCAAGCCAATTACCTTAGCTCCAAACCAATCTGTATGGTAAGTGTTTGAAAGAAAAAGGAAGCTAAAATGTCCACATCCGCAAAAGGTGCATTTATTGGGTCGAATACATGATGTAGTAGGAACCCCGTGAGGCGCTACCAGTAAAACCAGTTAACGATGCACATTCGTGTGGTGTGCAAGGAGGGGAGCGCGATTGAGACGGTAAACCCAAATAACCGAGACTATGTTCTACGTTCAGCATTTGAATTGAAGACGATACTAACAATTCCATCAAGGTATACAGTTGAGATGCAGGTGACTCGGCAACCAGACAGAGCTTCAGTAGTCAGAAGTAAAAAGCGCAAAACGGGATGTGAAGAGGTCAGAATGGATAATGAAAATGGTTGAAAGTTGGTAAGTGAAAATGCTTCCCAATTGATGGCAAGTGCGGGACAAAAAAAAACAGGTATAGGTCGCAATGCCGCAGCAATATAAACAAAAGGAGGGGTGGATGTGTAAGCTAAGCATGACTGCACAAATATGGCACACAGAAATACTCAATGGATATGCTAAACGCACGGTGCATGATGTGTGTGTGTGTGTGTGTGTGTGTGTGTGTGTGTGTGTGTGTGGATAGGATGGATCCAAGCAAAGAAACAAAACTGTACACATAAGGCTACCTCAGTTCAAACAAAAGTAGGGCAACAAATAGCAAGGGCGCAATTGGTCATAGTGTCCTCATAACTACACAATGTGAAGTCAGAAGGGATATCTTGAGAACAAGTAGCCGAAATAAAAGAAAAAGATATGAATAAGATAGTCGATGTCTGAGTAAGAGTATGAGATATGAACCCGAGCAGTTCCGGAGTGCGGTGAATCCAGTACTTCACTTGATTCGCGCTGTCAGTGGTGAAGTACAACACAGACAAGAAAACAAAGACGTAAATTGACAGGGGATGGAATATGAACATTCACGTTTATTGAATAAACTGCCAATGACTGGGCAACTGAGTCATATCCGTTAGGGTCTCCAATCACTGACGTGGCTTATCTCGAAACCCTGGTGTCGACGACGACACGCATCAGTCTGGCCAAATCTGACAGTTAACTGCTTTATGCCATTATGCTAAGTCATACACTGGCCACCTCATGGCTTCATCCAGCTGCGTGCAGCGACAGCATGTAAAACAGACCGAGGAAAACCGTCAAGGGGCATTAAGAAGATATTGCATAGCAAACATAAACGGTCTAAGTTAAACAGAGGTCAGCGCGTTTCTTGCAAAACACAAACTGGTTGACATACGTATTGCTCACACGTTATAAAGTGGGCAATACACCGCGGCCACCGGTGACCGAAGACAAGTGATCTATTCAACACGGTGGCCGTGTTTCTGGTCGATAAAAGGACACGGGTCATATGGAAGCACCGTGCACCGTACGTTTTACTGACAGATCGATATCCTGAGGTCACCGTATCTGACCCAGCCTCTAGAAAGCTACACAGACTCTTCCGTGTAAATGAAATGTGTAACAAAGCACAGTTTATGGAGCCGGACATCAAAGACCTTAAAAGTCAGCCGAGCATCGCTAAAGCTAAGTTAAAACTACTGACAATACTAACTTACATTTCGGAACCATCGAAAATCCTATGTAGTGAACACCTTGAAAGGATCAGAAAGTTTATATTCACCACAGCAACTGAGGCACATGAATGGATTAGTCGGTCTAGAAATGTATTTAATATACCTTACAGGTATCCAACTGATAAACGGAAACGCATGTTTTCATCAGCTGCTTTCATCAGCGATGGAGAATGCAATACTATGCGTCTTCGTAAAGTTACAAAAACACAACTGTCCAGTACTCCTAAAATTCACCATAGTGGATTGACAGGCGGCCAATGATTATAACGACAATTGAGTTCAAATGCGGTGTGATTAGAGCGGATGGAACCTTATTAGAAAGAGAATTGCAAGTTAAAGACGGTGCCTCACTACTCTACTCAGGTTCAAATTCTACTGAAGCACTCGACAACACATATTTAAAGCGGCTTCTGTGCTACTGATGTTGATCTTGACCTCTTCATCGAATAGGCCAAAGACCGCAAATCAGAGATTGCCTCTAATGTTGTTGTCCCATATACCGGTATGGTTGACAGCATCCCATTTCGAAGTTGGCCGTCAATGCGGCCTCCATAGGACAGTCACAGAACGCCTACGCCTACAGAATGACCATGGGTGGCTCGCGCTGCATCGCTAACAGTAACATCCACACACTCAATATCCAGTGCAAACCCAAAGGAATAAGACCGGGAGGCATATAGATGGGAGTCAGTTTTCATCAACGGAACCGGTCTACACTCCCTCAACATACACAGCAGCAGCATTCGTGTCTATTTAATTTGGGAATCATGCGTACTAGATGCACACAAAGCGGTGGCTGGGCCGTAGCCCAGACAAGGACAACGTCGAGCACGTAGGAAATTTTGCACGCAAGAATAAATAGCCCTACTCCCGCGCTAAATGATACTGAACCAACCCAAAAACTAGAAACACCTTCCTCGGATTAATACTCGACCTGGAAGAGTCGTAGCTCCGAATATACCTTACGAAATCGAAGATATCATTAACACACTGAAGAGTCACCTGTATATGAAAGGTCGGTTAGTCTCAGGGAAAAGGTTTAAACCGTCTTCTATGAATTGCTCTGATACTGTGCTCTCGAACCTATCAGACAGAGCTGACGTTGAGAATTTGTATTCTCAATGCAGACAGTTGTGACAGCCCATCCTATTCAGCAAAATGGTCCTTAGAAAACCAGAAAAAGCTCCGCGTCTAGCGCACAACTCTTGAATAAATGTGAAATTAATACCCCTCCCTGGATTTCCGCGCACAACCGACAAGTAGAAACCTCGGTAACAGACCTACCGCCGGATTTTTCAGAAAGCTATCGCCTTATCAGCCAGTTTCTCAACCTAGCTCAATTTCGCATGTACAATAGTCTCAGTGTTCCTCAACTACTAACACCATGGTCAACTGGAGAAATACTACTGCAGTCAAACTCACTAGTTTCCATGAAGTATTAAACTTGAGTTCTCAGCGGGGCAATATTGTAATCCTGCTTATTAATGCACGGTCTCTGAATAATATGACGCTAAGCTTTCGCCATCTTATTGCTCACTCACTTCACCATTTAATACTAGTAATCGAAACATGGTTATCCCCCAATGTACCTAATACCTAATATGAGCACGTTAAGGGCTACACGTCTTTCGTTAGTAACCGTTATATGAGTATTGGTGGTGGGTGTGCTACCTAAACTCGGGAACAGTTGCTATCCACCAACTCAGTATCAGACCAAGGGCTAAACAAGGTTATTGAATCCGTTTGGATTGCTGCGGAGTTGAACACTAGCCACATTCTAGTAGGTTGTATCTATATTCCTCCGCAGTGTGAAACCCTCCTTTTAAATCATCTATATTCTGCTTTTGAATACGCCTCCGATCTACCTTTATCTCACAAAATAATTCAGTGATTGTAACATGCCAAATGTCGCCTGAGAAAAGTGGTCTGCATCACCTAAGTTCATGACTCTCATCCCAGAAATCCAGCTACTGGGATGGACACAAACCACGCAAAAATCAAGGTAACAATATATTAGACTTGATATTTATTCAGAATATTTTCAACACCACTGTTAAGGTGCTGTCTATGTTTCAATATAGTGATCATAATGCTGTATATCTCAGTTTCGTATTACCAGAGAATCTCGAAACAAAATTCTCAGCCTATGGTAGAGCCATGCAGAGAACTTACAAATCTAGATTGGAATAAATTTTCGTCTCTCCTGGGAACAAGGAACTGGAATGTGTAATTTCTTACAAAAGAATCACAGACTGCGGCTGATGGGATGTACGCAAACTGCCAACAATTCCTAGACGCCATTGCACCGAGCAAAAATGTTTCATTAAGAACGCCGCGCATATTACAGCAAATAAAGAAAGTACGTACTCATATTGAACTGACGCTTGATTTTTTCCCTATTAATAAGGCACAGAGATTACTGGCTGAAGAGTAACGAGCTCTGAAGTCTAAGAAAAAGTCCAGTGACCCGGACAAAATGATACGAATAACAAATCTCGGACTACGAATCTTTGCACAATAGCAAAAGTTCCAAACAATCCCGTTATTGTTCACTGTTCCACGTGACGCCCCTTTGTCGAATAAAAGCAAGAATATTGTAAAACAACAGTCATTTTCAACTGTAGAGATATTCAGCATCTTACAGACCGACTACGACCAACTTATTTTACTGGCCCGGAGGGTCTATCAACTTCCTTGCTAAAATATGGTGGTCACTTTTACTCCAAAAACATGTTGAACATGCCCAGGGAGTCAGGGATGTTCCCCGTCCAATGAAATAATAATAATGTGCCAACTGTACGCTGTTACGGCGCTTCGTTGCCGCGCGACCACCATCAGTCGCACGTGGGTTGAGTATACCTTGAGGATACCCACATCTACGTGGATACGAACCGGGGACCTTATGATTGCAACGCATGGCGTGAAGACCACTCGGTCAGGCTTAGGCCCAAAAATGGACTAAAAGGGGACATCAGAAACTACGGCGCGGTTAGTCAGACGTATTGTTGAGAGAGTAATGGAGCAAAGAAAAAAAAACAGCAAACCATTTACTCTCACAGAACCTGATCAACCAGCATGGCAATCTACGAAAACGATTATGTCAAGTATGGAATTTCTTAACTAGCTCTGTGGATAATGGCCATGCAGCAATAATCAT